CCGCCGCTCCTGCCGCCTCCGCAACCACAACGTCGCCGTCTGCCGCCTCGGCCTCCTCATCCGTAGCCTCCTCATCCGTAGCCTCCCCTTCCGTAGCCTCCTCATCCACCTCCGCGTCCACCCGGTAGGCCTCGCCCGCCGCCTCGTCCTCCTCGTCCATCGGCTCCGCCACCGCCGCTGCCACTCCCGCACCCTCCTCCAAGCCATTCTCCGCCGCGTCCGCCGCCCCCGAGTCCTCCTCCCACTCATCCTCCGGCGCCTCGCACTGCCGGCGAGCCGGGTCCGGGTGCATCCAGCAGAACCACTCGGCAGGGAGCGGGCCGGGCGTCTCGGCGGGCAGCCGCCGCCACTTGTCGCACCGGTCGCAGGCGACCCACAGGCAGCGGGCCTCGCCCTCCTCGTCCTCGCTCTCGCCCTCGTCCGAGTCGAGCGCCTCGCTGCCGACGGCAGACGACCCGTGGGCAGGAGCCTTGCCGACCGCCCGCGCGTACGCCACCGCCGCCTCCACCGCCGTGTCGAAGTAGCCGAGGTTGACCCGCCGCCCGTTCGCCATGTGCCGCGCCTGGAAGCGGCCAGAGCTCTCGTACACGCCCTTGTACCCGGTGCTGCTGCTGCTCGAGAGGTGCAGACGCAAGCCCTCCGCCTCCGCCGCAGCCACTGTCGGAGGCTGGTACTCGCCGACCGCGCGCGCATAGGCCACCGCCGCCTCCACCGCCGTGTCGAAGGAGCCGATGGAAACCCTCCTTTCGCCCGCCCTGTACTGCGCCTGGAAGCGGCCAGAGGCGCGGCGATCATGGAACAAGCCCCTGTAGCCGGTGCTGTTGCTGCTCGAGAGGTGCAGCCGCAAGCCCTCCGCCTCTGTCACGAGCGGTGCCCGCCATGGCGACGCCGCAAGCACTGGACCCTCCCGGATTGCTGAGGAAGGCACAGACGCCTCGCCGGCAGCCACCGCCTGCGGCTCCGTCGGCGCCGCCACCGTGCCTGTTGTTGCCGCTTGGGCTGGCCCACTCGCCGGCGCCAACGCCTCCTCTGCGACCGCGCGCGCGTACGCCACCGCCGCCTCCACCGCCGTGTCGAAGGTGCCGAGGCAGACCTCCTTGCCGTCCACCGAGCGCTTCGAGCGCTTCGCCTGGAAGCGGCCAGTGGACGCCCTCTGCACTCCCCTGTACCCGGTGCTGTTGTTGCTGGAGAGGTGCAAACGCAAGCCCTCCGCCTCTGTCGCCAGCAGCGCCTCTGCCGGCCGGGCAAGCGCTTGGGGAGGCCGCGGAGCGGTCGGAGGCGTAGCGGGCAGCGCTGCCTGCTCGGCGGGCTGCTCGGTCGGCATCGCGACGTGAACCTTGCGGCTGTCGGGCAGGTCGGGAGGGACCTCGCCCTCGCCCTCGTCCCCCCCCTCGCCCGAGGCTGCCTCCTGCCCCGTCTCGATGTCGAGCAGAGCTGCCGCCGCCTCCGCCTCCGACGCCGCCTCCGCCTCCGCCTCCGGCGCCGCCGCCGCCTCCGCCTCCGCCGCCGCCGCCGCCGCCGCCGCCGCCGCCGCCGCCGCCGCCGGGTCCGCGACCGCCCGCGCCGCCTCCACCGGCGTGTCATAGAGACCGATTAGTACTGGCGTTCCGTGCTCGTAGCGAGTCGCCACGAAATTTCCAGAGGCGTGCACACGCACGCTCTCGTAGCCGGTGCTGCTGCTACTGGAGAGGTGCAGGCGCACTCCCCCCGCCTCCTCCTGCACGGGCGGCGCTGCTGGCTCGACTGCCTCCTCTTGCGCCGCCAGAGCGTTCGTCGCCGCCATCGCCGCGGCTGCGCGGGCCTCCTCCTTCTTCAGCTTTTGGCGGCGGTTTTGGAACCACACTTGTACCTCCGCGAGCCGGGGGATGGAGAGGGGGGGGGGGGGATGGGCGCGGGCGCAAGGGGTGGGGGGGGAGGTGGGCTGTGGCGGCTAACTACACCTGCCGTGGGCTGACGGCGAGATCGGTGGCGAGGCTGGCGCGCAGCTGGCGCGTCGGGAAGCGGTCCATGGCGAAGACTTGCTCCAACACCGCCCGCGCGGCGGGCTGGACGATCCATCTCGTGGACTTGTCAACATTGGTGGCGGTAACCATGAGACTGCGCGACGCGGGGACGACCCGACGGTCAGTTTTGATGTGTGCGCAGCGCGCGCGCAGGGCGGTTTGCGGTGATGGAGGCGCGCGCGGCGCGGGAGGCGGCCCGGGAGGCGCGGGGGGGACGCGAGCGCGCAGCCGTGTGGCGCGCCCTGTTTGAGCCGAGACCGGTCCGAGCCGGGCCACATCCTCCGCAGCAGCCATGCCACCGCCAGTCGCCTCCACACCGCCGCCAGCGCCATCCTCCCCTCCGCCGCCTCCGCCGCCGCCGCCGCCTGAAGCCTCGACCCCAGCACAGCAGAGGGCTGCCGCCGCCGCCTCGACCTCTGAAGCCCCCTCCGCCGCCCGCTGCTCCACCTTTGCTGCTGCCGCTGCAGCCGTCGCCGCAGCCGCCCCGGCCTCCACCTCCGCCTGTCGCGCCGCCTCCGCCGCTGCCTCTGCCTCTGCCGCCGCCGCCGCCGCCTTCGCCGCCGCCTCTTCATCCATGCGAGCCGCCGCCGCCGCCTCCGCTGCCGCCTCCTCCTCAGCCATCCGCACCGCCGCCGCCGCCGACTCCTCCTCCGCAGCCTGCGCCGCCGTGGCCGCCGCCACCGCTGCCGCCGTCTCCTCTGGGACCGGCGGGCCAGCAAGCTCTGCAGTCGTGCTGCCGACGGGCGGCGGAGGCTCCTCGCTCGACGTGGCCGCAGAGCTAGCTGGCGCCAGGGCTGCAGCCGCAACCACAGCGGAGAGCTTGTCCGCTTCGAGCTTGCACGCCTGCTTCGTCTCGTCCCAGACCATTACCAGTCCCTTCTTCGTCGCACCGCAGCGCTCCGGCTTCATCTCGTGCGCGGCGACGCAGCCGCCGCATGTGCACGGCATCGCGATGCGCAGAGTGTAGGGCTGCGGCGACGGCTCGAGGTTTCGGACCCGCAGCTTTTTGATCCAGGGCGTAGCCAGGTCCTCTTTGTCGAGCGCCCGCGAAAGCTTGCCGCTGTGGGCGAGAGACTGCCAGGAGTGGATGGGAGGCTCGTCGAGTGCCGCAAATGCCATGTTGGTCTGTGCCGCAAATGCCATTCGCAATCAGCAGTCCACCATTATTACGAGATTATTATTATTAAAAGAAAGCGCTCGGACAGCTGCGTGCGCGCTCAGACAGACCATGAGACGGCCGCGAGCGCGGAGCGCTTGCCAAACAAAAGCGACCCAGGTCTAAGTTTTGGGCCCAACCCTCGTCTACCCCTTATCTCTGGGGGGGGCGCGGGGGCCCCCGGAGGCACCGTGCGTTGATGTCAGCGCCAGCGTCGCGCAGCAGCTGGGCGCACTCGAGGTGGCCGTTCTGGCACGCGATGATCAGCGGCGTGGTACCCACCTCATCGGCTTCGTTGACCGCCGCGCCAGCGTCGCGCAGCAGCTGGACGCACTCGGGGTGGCCCTCCTGGCTCGCTATGAACAGCGGCGTGGTACCGCAGTTCATCGCTTGGTTGATGCCAGCCCCAGCGTCACGCAGCAGCTGGGCGCACTG